TGGCTCTTACTGGCTCTTCATCTGGATAACTGAGTCTCTGTGTCTCTCTGTTTTAGCACCAGGTACACGCTCTTAAATATCCCATCGATAAGCATATTTGGGCTTACGGGACAACTGACGTTCGAAGCAAAATCCCAGAACTCTTTCTTTAATCATCACCGCAATATTTCCGATTTTAATTCTTTTCGTCGTGTGATTTCTAACATTGTATTGCGGTGTTAAGTGTACTAAGTATATTTAGCAAGTTAGTTGTTTCGATTTAGTCACTTTTTTTGCTTGTTATATAGCATTAACTCGTTATTATAACTAGTTATTAAAGTAGTTAGCTCGAAGGCATTAGCATTTGGGTATTGCTCAGTAAATTTGAGACTAAAGATAGTTTATGTATGTATATATGTACAGGAGTATAGATTGAAATGTCGGGGAAATCTGACGAAATTTTTAGGACAACCTGCTGAGGAAAACATCTTATTCAGAGAATGTAACTCGGTTCTAATCAACTAAGCTGTCGAAACCGAGAGGAGCTTAGTGAATGTTAATCAGTGTTTCCTAATTCAAGGGGACAAAGAATGAACAGGGAATGAAGTAATTAAAATCAGATGCAGCAGAAAGGGCCTGCTCATTCTCTAGTGGACCGCTGACGGGTCTAACTGTCAGGGAAAGTTCTAATGACTAGTCTTGTTTTCAGTCCGGCACAAAGGGACTTGGAGGTCTACGTTTGCTGCTTCCTCAGGACGAGATATTTATCCATTCCATGTCAACTCTTCCCGTACGATATCGATAGGATATCGATAGGTTAAGTTGTCAGTATGTCGGTAATCATCATAAATCCTCATTAAAAATTGTACATAATTTAAGATAAAGCACTCAACTCAGCAGAAAGGAGTTTTTTTCTCACAAACATGGAACAATTACTACTCACAAAATGTGATTCTGCAATGCAACCTGGTTTTGGGAAGGGGAAATTCGAGGGGGTTGGATGTGGGAGAGTGGCACTTAAGTATCAGTCGGGCTGCCCTGAGGTTCTAAATGTCTCACAGGTCCTTATACGCCACCAATCGTTTTCAAACACTCGCGGTGAGGAAACGCGGTAGGAAAAAGGTTGATGGGAAGGGGATTACTATACAACCCCTCACACCTTGCTTCGATGCCAATTGAGTTCACCGCCCACGTTATCAAAAAGACTGGGGCTGAGTCAAAAGTGGATTTCTTAAAAATATATTTTTCAGAGATCATTATGGCCAAATAAGTGCAGAATTTGGAGTCGTTTTACTTTTCAAATTTCCTTCCGACCAATAAAATTTCTCTTCAAATGAAAATAGAAAAGTAACTACATGTCTAAAATTTTAAAATCTTTCAAACACGTGCAATACCGTGTGGAGTTTCCAAGTGGATCAGAGAAAAGTTATTTGACAATGATAAAAATAAAGTATTTAAGCACGGGTATTAAGTTCTCTTTGCAATCCAACAAAGGTGACTTATGCCAATGTCGCTCTTATGTCTGAAATGGATGCACGAAATTCATTGTTACTTAAGCCGCACTTAAACACACGAAATAAGCAGCATAAAGAAGTGGTACACATCAATATAAGCGATGGGTACAATTGGAATTTTATATTTCAGTTGAAAAACCCTCGGCATGGCATGTCTGGTTTTGTTGATCCAGGCCTGGTCTATTACCAGACAGAGGTACTTTACTATGTAGTTATTATTAAAAGACAACTGATCCTTCCTTGTCATTAAAAACCAAAGATCTTAAGCCCTAAGACGATTTTAAAAGTTGCATAATCGACAATTTGAAGGCCAATCATTTCCGATGTGAGGCTATGAGAGATATAAATGGAAAGGTTGAGAGGGATTTGTCGGCTCGTTTGTTCGTATTCATGTTTGTTCAACTGAAAAATATTTTAAAAAACTTATTTTGAAAATTCTATAACATACTCAAACATAACAAACATAACATACTTTTTTTGAGCCATGTTTCAAACGGCCGTAGTCTCATTGATCAGTAAGATATCAATGAAAAAGCTGCTGCCACGTGCTCTGAATTTAAATTATCCCATACCCCCTCCTCCCAAGGGTCTGGCGACAAGCTTGATTGGTTGGCCAAAGATCACATGAATTAATTGGCTTAAAAACCCATAGTATAATCGTTGTAACATCCCTATACCTGCACGTACACGGTATTAGAAAGGCCCAGAGTCTTTCCAAATGGATCATTTCCACTGATATTTCTCAATAATAAGCTTAATTCTTTTTAAAACAACGTCCTACCTGATCATTGTTCATTGGCGGTCAATGACTGCCTCTGCTTTATTTAATTATACTTTGATATTCTAGAATTTGCTCTTTTAAGACAGCTTAGCAGAATAGGATAAAGCTCCAAATAAGAAATACCAAGAGTTTTTTTGGTATTTCCTATTTGGAGCTCACAAGCCATAAAACAAACCTGGGAAAAGACCTTGTGACTGCAATGTGAAATTAACCCCTGCGAGAATGTCTTCAACTTCAACAAGGTGTCTATTAGCTTACATATATTGCCTCAGTAGACAGCGAGTTTCTTTATTACAAAACTATAAGCTAAATAACTTTCATTTCGCCATTTACATCATTTATACATCTTGAAAAATTGTACCATTTGTCCTCTAATAAGCTGATTATTCACTGAGTATTAAGCAATGTTAATAAAATTTCACGCTGAGCTGGGCAACAATGCTAAGTGGTATTACCATCACGAATTTTTTGAGGGCTACACTGGTGTTTTTGATATTTTGAGAAATTTTTGAGAAACTTTACCGCATATTTTGAGTGCACTCTTTATAAACTTCCAGCTTCAAGTCAACAGTTTTCATTCAAATCCTTGCAGCATTCGCCTGATCGTTGTCACGTACAGCTGATTTAATGGTCTAGCTAATTCATTCACTTAAATCTCACTATTAGAGCGGCCAAACTCAGTACTAGTGGTAAGGAAAAAACAGTTAGATTCTATCGGCGAGGACACCCGTCCGCGCAAAAAATTCCCACATAACCCCAACCCTCCCAGACTGGGGAGCCTTCCTTTTTGTTAAGTGGTGGTCACTATGTTGCATGGTCTAACAGATCTGTCGGGCTAATCCTAATCCCGAGAAACATCTTACTTACAACGATTACTGCCCCAAGAAGCCGTTGTCAGATTGCACAGGATTGCAATTCGCACGGGCTCAACGAAAAAAGCTACCCTCTGATCTATTTTAACTTATATGTACTGAATACTAAATATCGACCGAAAACACTTCACACAGTAATCACCTTAGTTTGTTCCTTGAAGCAAATGTACAGGTAACAGATAATGATCAGGACATTTACATATATTTGCCAAAGTCGTTTATTCATAATTAAGTAACGCATAAACTTGAAAAAATTCTACGAATTTGAGTGGGTAGTGAAACGCCACCGCCAATATTCTTCACTACTGATCCAGCTGATACTTTTACTTTTTTTACCGTTACGTAACCTCAGAAGCTCAATTTTCCTCTTTCTCCTCACCTTTACTCTCTCTAATGCAGAGATAATATCTTTAGGTAAAAAGCCCACAGCCTTTCCGCATGCTCATTTTTATAGGATTAGTTGTGATAAACAGGGAAAGCCGATATTAATGATGTTTATCCCATTAACAAAGCTGATAGAATGGGCGAGAATCTTTGAAGAGCACGACTTCCGTCAGGAAAGAGCAAAAGCTTGAGACAAGCCAATATCAGTGTAGTTTTGTTTTCATCTCCTCCATATACACCTAAAAATTTTTTAGTTACTCAAAACTTATCAAACTTAGACTTTAGTGCAGCACTTATTCCAAGAGAACATGCTAGTTTCCTTACAAACCTTTAAAGAAGAAATTTGATACCAAAATGGAGTGGCTCGTGATACTGTTAGTTATTTTGATTGTGTACATGTTTAGTACACGTGTTGAAGAAAGCAAAAGAGATTTTTGCAATAGTCTGCACATGCGCTAGTAAACTCTTGGGAAAGCTATCTGTGATTTCATGTCAGATGTAGGTGAGAATCAGGTAACCAGCAGCGCAAGTATACAAAATAACAGCTTCTGCTGCTTAAGACGCGAATGCCTCTCGAACCCTGCAACGATTGTGAGATTTAACATGAATTATTCTTCAAATAAGACCACCGAAAGAGCTTTTTGCAATAAAATACAGAGCTGATATGGTCATCTGACATGGCGGGTGGCTTAAAGGTAAGGGAAGGGAACAAATGGGTTTGGTGATATGCATACCGAAGAAGGGAAAGAAAAAAAAACGTGTTATCTTGCATCATAAACCTTCCTTTAAGTGAACAGTTTCCTGGAATTAGCAGCAGCAAGTATCTTTTCTTGGAACCAGTGAAATTAACGTTGACGCCATAGTTGGGAAAATACGCTGGGAATGAGGCGCAAAATATTGTTCAGCCGTGTCCAGTACAGGCAATACAACAGTAAACAATGGTTATGCATCATCGGCTCAGTATCCAAACAAAAACATCTTGTGTTTAAATTGTTTTCACGACATTTTTTTCATTCCTCCCACGCTCATAGTCCTAAAACCCCCTTTTTTTGTTCTGCGGTACATTGGGGAAATAATGTCATGTAAAAGGAACAAGGGGTCGAAGCTCAGTGGTGCTGACTTCCCCGGTAACACAACACAGCCAAATAAGGTGGAAGTCCCAGCACATTGAGGTAATCAGAAGCTATATGTATCGTCCGTTACCCATAATCTGGTTTTCTGCTGGATTTGCCCATCATCCGGCTTTGGTAGAGTATCGGGTATTGAGAACTAACCACACCAGAATAAACTGAGAGAAAATAAAATTTAATAAATATCTGTGTTTGACTCTCGCAAACACATGTAACAGGCGGTGGATTACAATTGGCGTTTGTAATATAGGTATATTCTTAATTTAAATTACTTTTATGTCAACGATTTTTTTCTAGACTTATGAAGGCGTTTCTGAAAGAGTCATAACTGTGAGTGTTTCAGCAGTTACATAAAGGGCCTTACAGAAATATTATTCGATAAAAATGATCAGTATCAGTCATTTAACAAGCTTAGCATAAGCGAGAAAATAATTTGGAGTATATTAACTTTGATGATGCTCTAGTGAGAAGTATGATGTGATAGGATTTGATCTTATCCGCTTCTAAATGTCCTTTATACAAGTTATTCCTAAAATTTCCTTATCTACGGACATGAAATACGCGAACGATGCCGTAACATGACAGATAATATGGGTCGTATTATCGTTACAGTCATATTTTGCAGTTTTTCTTGGATCAGAATTAACATAATGCAATTACCGTCGATCGTAAGTGTTTTCGTGATGATGTATCTGATAGTTTGCTCAAGTTTCCACAGAGATTATCTCGAGTATGTGGGCAATTTACAAACAAACGAAAGATAAAATTAAACGTTTGACGAGTTTATCATTCATGGTCTTCACTCATTGTCCCCTTGAACAGTGAAACATTACCTTGCTTAAGTTTAGGCAAGGACAATGCCTCTTTCTTGCTTCCTTGTGGATTATCCGAGAGCGGCTACGTCGCTCTTCACTTGATGCGCGATCGACTATCATTTCACTTTCAAATTCACCGAAACTGAAGTTTGTCGCTCATCCGCACTTACGTTTCCTACTCTTAAACTGATTGCCTTGCTCTGAAGCGTTGCAGCCATTCCTTGACCTCCTGCATCCGGTAATTCATGGGACCTGCGCCCCCTTCGTATGCAATTTTATTACTCTGCACGATGTATAAGCGGATTGGAACAGCACCGTATGCGATATTGGCAGCATTTAGCATGCTGTCTACCGCCACAGTACAACTGCAAAGATCCAAGGATTTCGCCATTTTTTGAGCGGCCTTGCATCTTTCGTCCAATGTACGGTGCTTCGGGATGTCACTGTTATCCTAGAGATAAAACCAAAAAATGAGAGAAAATTGTCAGAATTTGTTTGGTTTCTCATCGTGGTACTATGTCATGGCAGTTCTCCAAGCCCCATTGAGTGATTTCGAGTGACCGGAGACATTCATGGTAGCAACTGTTTATATAGCAACTTACATAATCGGGTGAAAATTCAAAACAAATTATTCAAACTGTGTCTAGTGATTTGGATTTAACATAAACACAATACATTCTCCACAACTTTAAATAGCGTAACGTGATTTGGTTTTTCACCTTAAATGCCCAGCCATCGACGGGATGAGCTTCTTCAATATAGATCACAGCAAAATCGGCCATTTCTTGAAACTCCTTCATTAGCAGTTGGTATCTTTTCAACATTTGCATAAAAACAGGGCAGGTTGAACTTCCGAAGTTAAGCACCAATGGTCGGCTACCCTTTGCAAAGTCTAAAATTCTCTGACAACGTTGGCCATCGATGGAAACGATAGGGGAATTGTAGGCTTTGTTGTTTAATTTAACCTTTTTGCCCATATCGGCGAGTAGGCAATAGTACACGTTCTGCAACATTTTCCAGGTAAATAGCGAATCCCAGTAAATTTCTGTCGGCAAGGAAGTGTCCGTCATTTTACACATCGCGATACTGATCATCGACTTGAAAAATGGCAAAATTTTTAGCATTCGTCCAACGGTGAAGAGGAGAATAAGCGAAGAGTAGATGAGAAACTTCTGGAATACTTGCAGTTCAAAATACATCTCGGCAGCTAGGACACTTACTACCGCTTGGAAACGAGCCTTTCAAAATGAACAAATATTTTGTTTGTTGCCCTCTTTATATCCTCCTACGCAGGGTAAGCAGAAATCCGCTTTCGTTGAGTGACTTAAAACAATGACTTAAGTAAATCTACGGGGATGCCAGTATATAATTACCACAATTAAAACTGACACTCAACTCATTCCATGGTAAAACAAGTTTTGTACTGGAGATGAAACAGTTCTGGAATGTTCTGATGAGACATGTTTAGCGGAGATGAACTTTATTAGGTCACTTTAAAAAATGTTATTCTCTGTATTTCTTTCTGGCTTGACCATTGAAAGACCTACAGTGCAATTGTGTTAATTGCGCCATTTTGCAGTATTTTGTTACGGCTCGGCGCGCCGGTGACTGGTACCGAAACATAATGCTGCCTGAAATTTGGTGGCTGTAAGAGTGTCACTGCAGATTAAAACAACGCGAAAAGTTCTAATTATAACACCAGTAACAATGTTTCGTTATGTTTTGATTTGAAAAGGCAACTTGTGGTGTTTTTTAGCTTTCGTGCTCGAAGTGTGAAGTCACTGAACAATTATCGTGATTGCCTGGATTCAAATGAAGCCGCTAAAACAAAGTTTATCCCATGGGGCTCCCACTAATCTGACGCAATTAACGACAAAGCGGTCCCAACTAATGTACCGCCATTACCTGGCCGAACAGTACAACACAGCGGAGGTGTGCAAGCCACAAAAATTTAGGGTACTTTAAAGTGTCATTTATGAAGATTCCGGTCTTGGTGAGCTGTTCCGCTTAGAAATAATATCACCAATGAAACACTGTCTCTCACTTTCTATCATTTCCGTCTCTCGATATAAATTTACACAAGATAATTTGTAAACAAATGCCGAGCGCACGAAAAACTTTCAACTCAGGCCTGCTCGTGGACGTCTGATGCCTTGCGCGCTCGATTCCGGTTCGAGATGTCCCGGTTTCAGCCCTAGTTGGGTGGATCATTGCGATTGTTTGCTCGTTTCGTGACTAGACCAAACAAGAGCTACCCTTCTCCTTCCAAAATTAGAAAAAGTTACGACGACCTGTCTGGAAAATTGATGAGCTGGTGGGGGTTGGCTGACATGAATCAGCATTCTGTCCGGGGGGTACTCTTGGCAAAAATCTTTAAAATTGTGCCCGGCGTTCGCTTCTTCAAAATCTATCCAATTTTAGATCAATTAATTCCATTTTCCTCACTTGTCTTCTGAATTCATACCCGTTTTCGGACCTGTCTTCTGAAACTTGAAATTGGTTTCATAATTCTGCTCGAATGATGAAGTTGGTTACTTTTATTCCTCCATTCGACGGTTGGAGTTGAAAAGCAAAAAATAAGTTTATCTGATGATACGCTCTCCTGGTTTCCCGAAAATTATACCTAATTTAAGGCCAAAATATGTACAGTTTGTATCCGTTTTCAAACTAAAACGACACAAAAATCATATCCTTTGTTGCAGCTCATACCGATTTAGGTTAATAATACATATGGAAGTTCCTGCCATATCAAAATTGTATTTCTTGCACAATTCCCTGTAGATCAGTCACTAAAAATTAAGAGTATCATGTGTTACACCCCAGCCTGAGGGCGAGCTTTGTACTACCTCTCAGAGCTTTTTTAGATCGAGTTTAGTAAAATTAAAACGAGAAGCCAATCAGATAGGCCAATTAAAGAAACTCATACGACGAGAAGCTTAAGCGAACTCAAATTTGCAAAAACAAGGAAAGCAAAGCAGAGGGCGCAGGAAAAAGCTATGGATCAAGTCGCGATTGGTTCTTTGTCACTTATCTGATTGGATTGTTTGGGAGGAATGAGTCTTCTAGATCAGCTTGTCTAGGGGCCGAGACACAAAATGTACTATTTGCATCCTAATTAAAACAATAGTACATTATTTTTCATTGTTTTCCGTCTAATTTTTTTTCAATTTTCATTTCTACTTTTCCATCCCAGATTGGTCTCTTTCTACTTTGACCTGACAGAAATTGAAAGAAACGCAATGCAGTGTCTTCTAAAGAAGACGACGTAAGATGAAAATAGTTTTTGATGTGAACTTTGGCAGACGTAATCGATGCAACATTTACGCCGTCTACACGAAAATATTCACGAGGAAGTTCGAGAAAAAGTTCTCAAAGTTAATCCCTTTGTCCACCCAACCATCAACTAAAATGCCCATTAAAAGAAACCAGGAGCAGCAAGACACAAGGTTTCATTTGAAAACGTAAACGAATACGTGTGCATATTTAATAAATTACATCTTCATGTGAATTTTGTCATATGTTCTTGCGTGAATTTTGAAATTTCGATGACGTCAACCTTTAAGTGCTCAGAGCTGTTACCATATATAACCATGCCAGTTTTTCTCTAATATGTCGTGACTTTGTCACGCTCAAGGACCATAAATAACGATTCATTGACGTCACTAGTCTGGAAACTTCAAGTTTGTTTTCGCTCAGTCTAGTTTGAGGATTATTTTAGGAGTAATCGCGTGAAATTATAAATGAAAAAAAACTTGATAGAAAAAGTTAGTTATTCTGTATGCAGGTTCACTTGAAATGGTGCATCGAGGGTGTCCGATACTATTCTCAAGATCTGGAACTGTAATTCCCAAACGAAAATCCTTTTTGTGTAAACTGAAAAAAATATATTGCGTGACAGTTCAAAGGTACGTCGCTCTAATCCTTTGAGGAAACTTTGGGTGGCCCAGCATGATGATTATTAAATAATTAGAGTCAAATTGCAAATGAACTTTGACTTCGAGAATATTCATGATTCTGTTTATCTATTATTCTGAGTAGTGAATAAGAGGTCCAGTCCCCTCGCTCGCGTTCTTGGCATTTCTCAGGCCCTTATGTTAAAATGCCTTTTCAACATTGTTTTTCCTAAGAATCCCTCATCTAGGTCTTTCCATGAAAAGGGGCTTATATTTCAACTCAATGTCTCTACGGATCTCCCCTCTAACACCTCTAACATTTAATTGCTGGGAGTGATCATACCCTATGAGAAAGCGAACTCCATCCCCATCCCCCTCCCCCCCTCCCCCCCACCGTCAAGCTGTAGTTCAGGAACTTGAATAATTTCAATTTGAACAAAATATGGCGGCACTTTCAAGTAATACTATCTTAAATAAAATCCTCAGTTTGTAGACATGAAGCCTGTTTAGACTAACTGGAAAACAACACTAGTATTTATTGGTCAAATTGTTAATCAAGTCAAAAAATTTTTTTTCTAACTTCCTTCTCTCTATCAATTAGTATACCTCCAATTTATCCTTTTTCGATCAGTTCGATAGGCGCACGACGTTTAGTTCTGCAGTTCCAGGATTTTCGACGATACCTTGATTGACAGAAACCCCGTTACGCTTGTAAACACTCTGATGAAAGGGAATTTTGAAAAAGTTGCGGAAATTCTTCCCAGCAAACTCACAAGTTTTGATCTTTTCGCCAGCCGGCACGATTCAAAGAAACTAAAACGTGAAAATCTCAGAATGAAACGACCGATCATGAAAATGGGAGAGTTGTAATACAGCATATTTATCAGTTGAGTAACATTTTTACATCTGAAAGCTGATTGGACAAGAAACATTGTATATCATGTCATGCTCTGCCTCTTAGTGATCTTCTGGTCTTTTATCAATTTTTGATTTTTGTGGCGTTTCCATTTTGTGACAAATTTTTAATGACAGCTGCTTCGAAAATCCTGGATTCCTTTATTAAATTTAATTCAAGCTGAAAACCCGATAAAAATTTTTTTCTTTCTTTTCTTAGAATATTAATTAAGAAAAATTAATTTACTCTTTTTCAGGTCAGAAAAGGTTTTTCACTGAGAGGGATTTAAGTGATTAAGTTTTCACATAAAATGGATTTCCTTCGAAGCTCTTCACCTTGTAATGTAGTTTTATTTTTTGGAGACTCAGAGTCAATTGATTTCTATCTGCGATCGATCTGAGTCGATCAGAATCCATTCTGGCAGCTATTAAAGAAAAGTGTTGCGTGCATCAAAGTGAAGATGGCAGAGTGTGTAGAGAGAAGTTCACTTGGAAAGCCATTTCCGCGGCACCTTTTAGAGATTAGATGGCTTAAGGCGATAAGAAAGAATGGATGGGAAATTTCGCAAGCGATTGAGATCGCTAGCTTTATAACATGCATGAATGGCGTCGTGAAAGCCCCCAGCGTCATGGCTACCAATCAACTCTTAACCTGATAATCATGACATTTTCCAATCCTAATGTTTATGCAGCATTTCATAATACTTTCCTCCTCCTAGTTTATTAGCTGTCGGAGCTGGTCAGAACCGTAATCTTTAAGGAAGAAATAAGAAAACTTTGGTGACCTCGATCGCGAGCAAAACTGTTCTCAAAAACTTCTGTTCTCCCATGGACGTTGTTTTAGAAGGTACGTTTCAACCTGTCGAAATCCTATTGATATATTTTTTCAAACGAATATGAGCAAAAATTCAAGTATTTTAAATGTTGCCACATTTTGTGATAGAAAAAGTTAGAAGCTGTCAAAATATTTTCCTCTATGTTTTACATCATGTGAGCAAAACCATTAGAAACTGTGTCAGTAATTCTCACACGCTAACAATACATGAAAATGTGATGGTGTGTTTCTTCGCCATTAAAGAGTAAAAATAAGCAGTCATTTTTTAGCTATATGGCTGCCTAGAATAATGAAATGGTAGCAAACCTCTCTACTAATTAAATTTAGGAATTAGACTTGAAATAAAGAATTGCTGCTGCTAATTCCGGATATATTGTGATGAAAATTCTAAATATCACCTGGAGGCAATCTTGACCTTGTAAAGAAAGCACTTCTTGCCCTCGTTTCATAAATCTTTAGCAAAATTCTTGGCACATAGAGTCGGGTAATTTTTTCGTATAGGGATTTTAATAGCGGAAACAGTGGGCAAATCCATTTTTGCCGTAAAACATCTTTAGTACATTCATTTCTGACATAAATTCGTACTTTTTTTCATTTCTTTTCTTTTTTTCCTCAGCAATGCTGTTTTCGAACTTCTGTTGTTTTATTTTTTACATAAATAGCTTTTGGCATCTATTCTCACAGGATGCATTGACGATAAATGGATGGTAACCTTAAGAGGAAAAAAAATTACCCTTTGGCAATGACTGAAACATTTTTACGAGTCTGAACGAAGAAATATCAAATGAAAAATAAAAGAAATAATAATAAAAATAAAGTGGATAGCGCATTTTAAGCTTTTCTTGTTTTAAGTACAATGATAAAGTGACAGATTGCTTCTCATCCAAACTCAAAAGAAAGAAAAAATAAACAAAAGAAATGTGGAGATTAGGAAACCAAATACCAAACAAAACCTAAACAGTTGTTTTTGTTTTCTCTAGTCAGACATGAATTTTATCATCTAAACCAACCAATTTAATCTGCATTTTATGTATTTTTCTTCTTTTAGTTTTTCTTTCCCTTTTTTCGTCAGGGCTGGACATTCACAGATACAAAGAATAAGATTACATGCTGCAGGGGGTGGGGGTGGGGGTGGGGGGGGGCAGCTTTAGATCTACACAAACGATGCCATTCAAAACAGATGGCTGATTCGATTTTTTTCTAAGACAAACGTACCAACTAGAGTAACAAGAATGTAAATATTAATAAAGTAGGAGAAATTTGGATGTCAGATATTGTGGCTAGTAGCCATGACAACTTTTTTTCAGTGGTCAGTGCAGTGTTAAAATTGCTAAGGAATCGGGGCAAGGTTAAGGAAATCTCTTAGGCGACTAAACTCACTGTCGGTTCATCCTCAAATAAGACGTGGAAAACCCTGACATACATCCAATTTCTAGTATAACGCATATAGTTACCAGACAACTCAGCGAAGAAATGTATATATATTTTTGTTTTGCAATTGTAACATGTTGTAACTGATGCTCAGAATCTAGCCAGACCGTCAATTTTCGGCGCATTGATTTTTCTAACTTTAGTCGAAGATGAATTAATCAATATTATAAGCTATTCCCGTTGTGGGTCTCCTGCTCTCCTAATTGAAATTTGAGCTTACTTCCTCGATCAGGAAAAGGAAAAAGAAAAGAAATTTTGGCAAACGATAGGGTCCTATTTGATTTACGATTTCAGGAAAAGATACTGAGTGGTTATAATTCAATTTTAAATTACGTGTCTGGTTAAAAACTCGCAGGAAACAGTTACTCCAAATTTAATTCAACTTCAGAATGGAAGACGTTAATTTTTTTTTTAAAATTACTTTTATTGCTACATAAGCCATAGGTAATGAAAATGCTCGGAAAAAACATAACACAACCGCCGGAGACTTTATATCGCAACCAAATTTTAATCTTTATTTGACTTTCTTCACCTCAGATATTGTAAATCATTGTGGCATTAATATTAACTTTCGTGATAATTTGTCAGTGTCTTGAATTTACAGTCTTTTTTGGGAAGGTAATCTCTGCTTACCCAATATAAATAACTCTATTTATACTTTACACGTTGAAAGAAATGACTACGTTTTTCGAGATAATGAAACAAGCAGGGTATTAGTAGAACAGATCCTAAGAATAAATAAAAAGAAAACCTAATTATTTGTTGGTGTTAAATTTAGCGATTGCAAAGATGGTCAATTGTAAGACGTTCATTTATATGCAATGGCTTTTATTCTTGGTACAGGTAGAGGAAACTAAAAAAAGGTGATAACACTTTCAAAATCAGAAAGGGAAGTCTAATTTCCAAGCGATAGAGAACGATAACAATCGTAACTTTATCAACACCTTACCTATTATGGGATTCATTTTTTTCGCAAATAATATTCATGATTTTATGTAGATATGTTTATTCAATACCTTTAATATAGCTTAAGAGCTTTTCTGCCGTCAGTCACTTTACACCGGTCCGTCGAACTACAACAACATATCTTCGGCAGGTGTACAACAGCTTGATGCGAAGTTAAGTTACCAGCACGACTTGCGGAGGGTTTTGTGGGTATGTTTTGTGATTGTTATATTTGGAGTTGATGATTGGACAAAACTTAACTGGTAGGATAAGAACACGTAAGCGTTTAAGGTAATTTTTCTTTTGAAATCATTCCGAATCCTGACTGAACGGTATAATAATCGTGGCTAGAAAGATATGTTAGTTTTAGGCGGGGAATTAGCTTTGATCACCGTACATTGCTTCAGGATTCTAGATCTGCGCTATTTAGATTTCGAGCGATTGGAAAATTGATCTTTTTTCCATTCCGTTAATTGTATGACTGAATGACTTTCGAACTGGACGATTAAAAATAAAATCTTTTTGCAATAGCCCTTTCCAAAAAATTGGACTCGGTTTTGGTATTCTATCTTAAATGCTTATTATTTCCCGTTAAAAATACAGAAAAATAAAAATAAAATGTCCGTGTGAATAAAATGTTCACCTCTTTTTCATCCGAACATAAATGAAACGTTCTGTCGTTCGGAATTCGGATTAAGTAACAGTAATTCGTCGTTTGCGGTAGGTCATCAAAACACAAAACCGCTTAAATTTTACTTAAAAACACATTGCTGGCCGTAATATCAATAGTAATTAAAACACCAGACCGATTCAACTAAACTTACTTTAGAAATAATTCGTATGATAAAGCCGAAGCTGATTTGGAAATTTATCTTTTTCGAATTATTGGTTTCTAAACCTTAACTATTCCCTGCTGTTTTGGTAACAAGAATCAATCGTTTCAACGAAACACGAACCATTGTAAGGAGCGTGTTAATTATGGGAGGTAAAAATATGTAAAGTTAAATTGAGCTTTTCGTGAAGCTGGTCTGAAAACAACGAACCAATTAGCTAAATTGATCACAAAAACACCTCATGTAAAATTTTTTTTTCCGGACTTTTAGCAACAGATGAATTTTGAATTTAAATTTGAATTGCATTTATTTATGTATTTATTTTTTTAATGAAACACTAAAATTCTGCTCCAATCATAACTTAGAAATAGATTTTTTTTAACGAAACATCCACCTGCATTGTTTGTTTCGTAATTAACAAATATAAATTTTTGGCTCACGCGATTTCTTGGCAATTTCAGCCATACATTACCACTCATAGTAGTCACTTGAACGAGGTAACAACATTTTGAAGCAGCAGGAAAATTCTTAGGAAGCCCAATTATGCAACAGATGTACGACTCAGTGGCGCAGACTGAATAGATTTAAATTGGGTAAGCTTGGAAAACACAGGCTATTTTTTTTAGTAGTACTGATAAAGGTTTTGATATTTCGAATTCACGAAGCCTTCCTTGTGTAGTTATTTCTATGTGGGTTTGACCATGGCAATTCAAAACCAATAGTTTTACGTTTAAATGTTTAAGGCTTATAATTCATCTTTTAAAACAATGATTACCTTCAATACCCTGAATTAAGCCGCTTTCACCCAAAGTCTCTTTTGTAGATATCGTGGAGATTTCTCAAAAAAACGATGGTCGGTTTAGCTCCTACTTCTTAAAACACTTTTTTTTATCTTTTCCGTAAGTAGCTAGATTGCGGCGAAATATAAAAAAAAAAACGTATTTCATATTTATTAATTTTTGCAACATGAGAGTGTACTGTAGGGTATTTATTTCAGTAAACACATCTTTTACTTGGTAAACAAGGCTGGTGAAACAGTACGCAAACCAGAGCAAATACGCAAAGAGGTATTTTCATTCGGTTTACTTAGAGATTAAAACAAAAGTCTCAAGTCTGACTAACAAATCAATCAAAAAAGAGACTATCGCAAGCTGAACTCAAAATTAATAATCATGGAATATTCAGTTGGTGGGAAACTCCCCGCCGGTTATTTACACCAAGGAAATTAGAATTTTCTGAATTTAATGAAAATCATATAAAAACGTCAGGGAAACACAATTAAAAAAAAGACTGGCCAATTTTGTTTCCATGCATTATGGTAGTTATATATAGTTTATGTCACAAAACTGAGGCCAAGTTCCGCGGCGTTCAAAAAGTGAATCATTGGATCTAATAGCGCTCTTTGTTGGGAAAAATTTTCGATTAATTTTATCGGGAAATTTGGAAATTTATAAAATGGAAGGAACAAATGTCATATTTGTTAAAACAAAACGAGTTCACTTATCTCAGATTCGCTTTGTTTAAACACACCCTCGCAGATATTTTATCTTTTATGCTGTACTGACAAAATTTTCAGTTAGCAATAGGCGAACACCATCAAGTTAATCTCTCTGGATTAGACAACAGATCCGTAAATTGACTAATGGCCATGGGTGGAAAGATTTTTAATTATGAAGATAAATAAACGCTATGTTCCCAAAGCCTCTTGATAAATGAACGCAGCATAACGTTTCATTTTTGTTGGGTAAGGCAGAGGAACGTAGGAGACATAAAAAAAACAACTTGGAAAAAGCATTGGACTAAAAGTACTTAGCTATCCAATGCAACAAGGAAATACAAGGTAAATGGAATAAGAAAATCACCGTTCACTTTCATGGACAGAGTAGAAGTCGAGGTGGATTATAACGCAGCAATCTTTGTTTTTTTTTTTGTAAAGAAAGGGGCTTAGTTATAACTGAAATATTTACATCCTAAGAGTTCTTTCAGTCAGTACCTCCTCTTTAAATTTTGGCTGTAAGTATGAAAAATATATTTAAAACATGTGGAGTGAAGCGAGAGACTGCTTAAGTTTCAGGGCTCGATTTATGCTCTCACGACCATAGAACAGCTAAAACTTAGGATTAAATTGAATATGAATTTCATTTCTTTAAATTTTGTCCGTTTACGATCTGTATGAGCTTTGAAATAGAGTAAGACTAATGCAATTTTATATCCTTTAGAAGGTCGGTAGTCTTGTTTATTAATCACGTTTTTCCGTGTAAATCGATCGCTTTTATCTTGGCAGATGCAAAGTCCGTCTAGAGCTTATTACCTCGGCTTGATACCTTTGTCCGTTGAAATAGATAAGGCAAGCATGGCAATCAGATAGTCCGAAGAAATAAAAAACTTTGTGTTTCGAATGGACGAACCAAAAAGTTTTCTTGTAAGAATATGCAGGAGACCTTTAAACAGACAGCCTTTGAAATTGAATGACACAGCGGAGAACTGTCTATTTCTTAGAGTATTGGACTACAAGTATAGGATCAATAAGTTTTGACGCTTTCTCGTGTAACTCCGATTATTATACATTATACTTCAGACTTACTGCAGTTTGAAGTCGACATTATAACCCAATATCTGCGGCAGATATTGGGTTATCATGTCGAATTCAAAGTCTGCCTAGCCTACAAGCCTTTCGTCTCAAACTTTTGCAATTGCAGTGTTTGATTTGCAGATTGTTCATAAAAAATTGTTCAATAAAACAGCTTTTAAATTCGGTTTTCATGAATTATCAAACCTCGTGTCGTCTGCTTCAGCCTTCGGCTTTGGCAAATAACTCAGCTCAACTCGACATTGATAATTCATTGATAATGCACGATTTTTGAAGACAGTCGGCAGTCAATGTCGTAGGCACTATCAGGTCTGTGACCGACCCTTTGCGCCCGCGGTTTGGAAAGTGAAGATTGGGAAATAATTATCTGCCTGCAGTTCCACCATCTTTGGATTAGTAAATATTTCTTCATCTGCGTAGAGTCATCTATGATGTTTGTAACTTTAGCTACGGTTTATTTGTTTGTTATCTGAATGTAATTCTCCGAATTTGTCTTACATCGATCATTATACAGCAATCACGTTTTGTGGTTGTTCAATCAATAAACCTTTTCATACAGATATCCTCCATAACCTGCAAGATGAATTATTTGCAATCCGGCCGGAAACCTTTACTGAAAAGGTTCCTAATTATCAATCGTAGCCTTAATTGGTAACAATGAATGATGTTGAGGCAGAATGTTCTATCCCTAATACATATTTTCGCCGGATCTCGCCCACTGTACTTTGGACATCCGAACAGTAGAGATGCTATAAAACACCCTAATCGAGGTGAAAGTTTTTATTCCACTCTAATCCGAATTCTGTCAGTATTAATCTTTACTTATGATTGTAAATGAACGGGAGGTATCACTATTGAATAAAGAGCGACATAATTTTATAAAATAATCATAACGTTGGACTCATACAGAGCAAATAAATGGTGTAATTTACTTTATTGATTTTCTTCGCTGTTAGTCAAACGGGGTCCTAATTTTATTTCATGAGCAACTCGCAGTAATCAACGGTAATGTTTTTCCTTCCTTGTTTAGTGTTCCTACTTGACACAAGATCAAAAGAATTATTAGAGACTGGAAGATTTTAAAATCTTTTTCGAAAGCTTTAGTTTACGAGAATTTTTCTGCGATGAAAATTGGAAAAAAAAATTGGTGGGAAACCACAAGATGTTATCATGGTATGATGAAGTTCACCAAAATTAGAAGAAACAAATAAAGGAAAAAATTTATAATAAAGGATGGAGAAGATTGAAAAGGATTGCGAATTGTACACTTGATAAAATATAGACGACGTTTTTCAAGTCACAGAAACCAAGATGTAGCTGCCAAGCGGTTGAGTAAGCTCCCACTGGGAGTGTTTGAATGGGTTTGTAAATACAGTGGTGCATGGTTCGTTTGCTGGGTTTTTTCTTTCAAGTTCAGATTTATGTTAACTAAAAATAATCAACTGCTGCTTTGGGAACCCTTATCTTGCGTTCTACGTTTCAAGAACCTCTCTGTGATGGATATACTTTTATCAGTTTACGCTGGATTCTAAATCAAGAAAATATTTAACCTCAAATGCTTGAGACTTAACGAGCGCTCATGGTTTTTAATCATCCCGACAACAGCCAAAGATTATAAAGCCAGAGCATCGTCTGACCTTTCCAGGCCTTGATTCCTCTTTCCCAGAATGGAGAGAGGAATGAAGAAGAAATGAAAGTCACTAAAAAATGAATGACTAATTAATCCCCAAGGAAGCTTTTAAGCACTTGAAATATTGACATACATTTTACTGATCTGTTTTAGAAGCTTTTGGATGAAACGAAAGTAGTTTAAGGCAAACTACCCAACGGGTTCTTAGTATTTCGCTGCAGAGTACTGGAAAGCGGTCGTCCGTCCTTTTGACGTGTCGATACCTCGTGACGTTTGTTAAGGTAACACTGTTTTTTTTTTCTTTTTAATTTACCTATGCATGCTTAAGAATCGGTATCCTTTAATAGAAGGCCTTAACTGGAGGCTATGAGCTTAGGTCTTTATTTCCAATAAAGTTAACACATGTTTAAAAAAACACAACTCTTTTCCCTAAATTGAAAACCAATTTGATAACCTCGCTCTGAGTTTTCATTCGGTGACAAAATGTTGTCTGAAAGCCAAAGGGACTGAAATCCTACAGGCAGAAATCGGTTGCCCGGCAGTCGAGTTCATGCATCTGATGGTATTTATAACCAAGATTAAAACAGAACTTCGAGAAATGTTGATGTTGGTTTCATCGAAAGAGCGCCAAGCGCGCTCGGAAAAAAAATCTAAATTACCTAAAATTTTTCATCTCGTGATATCGAACTCGAATCGAAGGAAACCCTTAAGAGCCCAGCTCTATGGTAATGTAGAGTGGTAAAAAGTAAAGATATGAAGAAAATTAATTTGTGGTTGTCACGAAAAAGATCAATCTGCTCTCTATTTTTCGGCTTAATAAACGAAATAGATGATGCCAAATTTTCCCTTTTTTAAAACTGTTTTTCCTTTTAATCATGAATATAAATTGCGCTTATTACAAACAAAAAAAATCGATGAATAAAAAGCTTAAATTGCGTCCTTGTGTGGCCCAGTGACTGCATCAGAGTTTCGTGCGTTTTCCATATTTTTTTATTATTCATGTAAAGAACTGAGGAGAAAGGAAAAAAAAAACCTTTTTGATCTTAATCATTTTCGTCCCGAAGCAGGTTCGTAAATAACATCAGCCAAGAAACGTTGTATTCTAAATTTTGTAGCTGTCAAGCCAGTGAACGTATGGGAGCCAAGTTTGCCATGAGATTTGCCTGTCGATCAATGTCAGCTTTCATAATTTGTAGCTTACGCAATCGAGCTATCTTAAGCTAACATCATGATCACTCTAGCTAGGTTGAAGCTCAGCGATGCGTCAGTGATGACTGAAGGATGTGCAACGAAAAGTATAAAAGAGGAAATGCGGTAGAAGATCTTCCAAAAAATAAAATATCATGGTAAAAGGAGTCGTCTCAGATGTAAACTGTTAGTTTAATTTCGAATTATATTGATCTTCAAACATGGGAAAGTTGCTGTTGCAATTACCAATTTGAGAGATATCATAACTTGTTTCGAGGTTTCAAAAAAGGAAAAGGAAATATCAGTTATAAATATTTCATCAAATAAAGCAGCTGAAGAATAACCGCTCACTAAGTGGTTAACAAATTATCAACTTGGCGACGTGTTGTCCTTTTGTTTATGATTCACTCTTTAGAAAAAATTGAAGTTCCAGACTGAGCGACTCAGGGCCTTTTTAATCAAACCCTAATATTAGATTTTTAAAAAGGTTACCGAGAGCATGATGATTTTCCCTTCCATAAACCCTACCCCCTCCTTTCGCCCCAATAAATTTCTCTCACGTTCCTTATCCAACTACAAAAACTCCTGTTACCAACATGTTACACAAAGATGATGCAAACGGACTTTAATCTGTTGCGTATAGACCAATAAATTGTGCAAGTAAAAACTACTGCACAACTAGATCACCCAATTTGTCGGCCTGTCACATCTGATTGTCGTTCAGCGCTAATCGCAAAGAGAGTCAACGATTTCTCAAAGTTCAATCGTTAGATATATCCCTGCCGGCTTTGCTCACAAGTTCCGCCACCGGCCCAACTAGTCGTCATTTCCCGCTTCCAAAAGTATTTTTGTCCCCTTCCTTGTGATTTCGTTCAAATTAAAATCGTGTTGTTTGCGCAACCAATTGATGACACGTCTAACGTCAGCGACAAAACGGAGACAAGGAAAATAATTTCCTGAATAATTTTTGTAGAAAATCTTTTGTTCAGTTCATTTTAATCAAGTCGGAAAAACTACCTACTGATCTTTACGCCAATGGAAATTGGCCAATTATAAGTCTTAAAATTCCATTCTTATTGGTTCTTGACACTGATCAGAACTGAATATACAAGACCGTCGCCTAAAAATTATTTACTTTTCATTAAAAAATTAAAATTCAGCCCTTCAGAACGAGACAGGACCTTAAAGACTATCTGCATTTTAGTCAGACTAAATAAGCCCACTCACTAATTTAGTAAACTTTGTATTGGCTTGAATTTCGTAAAAGTCCATTATCACCTGCTTACCATTATAAAAGAGGATCGTGTTTCAACACTGTTTGACGTGAGGTAAATTTTATGTAATACGTTATGATAATCCCGTGTTCAAGGATAAAAAACGAGAGTTCTCTCATCTTTGCATCTGGAGCTGGTTTAACAGTGAGTACCTAGTTAAAAAAGCGCAAAGAATAACAGTAAGACTCGTATTAATTTTAAATTTTTAGTGTGAAGATATTGCTCCAGCATTCAGTCTACTTCTGGAGTACATCCATACTCCTTTGTTCATATTAATATCAGCTTGCAGCTTGGAGGATTATGCTTAAGTATACACAAACGCTGACATTTGTTAGCTTCGGTTTAAATCACTGGAAGTTATATTGCTGTTTAATTTCCATTTTTTGATCATGAATTCGTTTGAACACGTTTACTTCTTCTACATTATCTTAGCAGTAATAATACGCTGACAGTATCAAGTCAAAAGGCATACGTACACATTTCGTTTGAGGGGACCGTCAACATGGGCGACTTTAAGACTTGTCTCTGCTATTAGCACCTTCGCGACTGCATGTAATATTTTTACGTGAATGAGATACCGCGCTCAGGGAATGTGATTTACAGCCAAACATTATCGCAATGCAAGATTATTCACTGGCAGATGCTTCCGATTGCAAGGAATTGAATATTCGTACCTTGCTCGATAGGAAACTCCTGCGATTTTCAGACTTCGACTAAAACGTGTAAGTGTCTTCTTAGCTCTCTTAAAATTTCCTAGCTTTCATATGTTGAAAAGAACTTAGCCGGGAGCACTTTATTAAGCGGAAACCATGAACGTAACAACCTGCATCCTTTGTAACTTTTAACAGCGAAAGTTGTTCTTGAGTGAACTCAATCATTCAACACCACTTCGATTGTAGAACAGGAACTTGGTTCACCTCTTTCTTCCTACTTTTTAACTAAGGTCTAATTTCTTCCAATGTCGTGTTATCAGCCTACATCTAGTTTACATCAACTACTGAAAAAAGATCCGTTTCAAATAGGGCGAATAGCACTTGATGATTTTACGTCTAGGATGTTATGTTTCGCTCATTAGCCTCTGTCAGAGGCGTTCACAACGTTGATTCCAAGAGTTATTACTCAACGCGCGGTGGTCTTTGCGCTTCGCCGCTACCATATGCATCCTTTATTGGTTGGTTCAAAAAGCTGAATGAATGCAATTGGGAACTACCGGCATGCACAGAGAGTCCGAGATGATTTATAACATGCAAAATTTTGCGAAATTTAGTTGATTAAGAAAACTGATAACGGAAATTCCTAGTCAATTTCAGCATTGTGTTAAGAGAAAAAATTTACTGAAAAGACTTCCGTGCATTTTCAATTAATTGATAAACATGAACTCAATATGATTTAATTTGAATGATGCCACTCAGAGCCTCTTATCAAACAGACCGCAAGGCACCAAATGAATTGTAATAAATATTAATGTCGTTCTCTGTTAACAATAGGGCTAAAATGTTTACATATCAAAGTCAATCTTTTAGGTATACTGTAAACAAACTTGTGAAAGCTCAAGTCGTGTGAGTTTTGGGCATGTCAAAGTATGTTACGCCAATTAGAGAAAACGCCATATATTTAATTTGTCTTCATAAAGTTGTCCGATAAGGTTTTGAAACCTAGTTGTGCTCCCGGCTAAATGATTGAAGAGGGTGATGGCCCCAGGGTGACAATTAAGAGGGTCCAACATAGGTTTGGCGGGATACAGGATGAGGCTTAAAATCGAGGCGGGATGAAGGATATGAGAAATTTTAAAGGCGAGATGCGCGATGAAAGTAGGCAGACGAGACCGGGATATGCTTCGTTTCGAAGGCGGAATAAGGCATAGGAGGGGTATAGGCGGGATCATAATTTAGCTCAAGTGGCGAGTCAATAGACTTCAGAGACACTAAAAAGTATTTATTTGCTTTATCAAAACGAGCTTTGTGATTCCCAAAAACCGCGGATAAAAATACATGAAATTCCCATGTTTTACTAATGTTACGTGGTTTGTTGCGTAAGTAACACGTGACGTAAGTTAATCATAACCTTGACCAGAAAAAGGTGGTCAAAAGCCGCAGTGAGCACGTTGACAAAGTTGCCGGTTCATTCACAACAGCGTTATTTCCGTGACAGCGACACCATCAACATCGCTAACCTCATGGAAAGTTCAATATTAACCATAGCCTAAAAAATTCAGGAAAAGAATGAAAACTCAATTCAATTCTTCGTAGGTGACGTTTTTGTGTCTTACTCTTAACCATTTTTTTTAGCAAGTTTGTGCCTTTCTCCTTAATGAGAGTACATGGTCAATATTGCAAAGGCTATATCAGTTAAAATAAGACAGTGAATTAGGGCAACTTGGATTTAACTAGGCGGGTTTGGGATAAAAATGTTCATCGCAGCGGAATGGCGGGATGGAATAAAAAATAGCGGTGTTCCTACTTCACGAGCTATCTGCAGACGTCCGAGAAAATAGCGGTGGTCGTATTTCACGGGCTATTCGCACACGTCCACGTTGTGCATTTCATAATGTAGACTCACCTCCAAGAAAAAAGGCTGGTGTAAATCTAGTTTTCTTTATCAGCTAGAATCGAAAGATATATGCCATCTGCGCTCAGAGTCCGACTCGGTCACGTGTTACAGGTAATTGTGTCACGTGTACCTCGCAGCATAGCTACTCAATGATTCTTAGCACAGTCCAGCTACCCCTGTTGAGAAAACTAACAATTTCAAATGGCCCTAACTCAGACAAAGCGTCTCGTATATTTTACCTATCTTTTGACCACTGACGAGAAAGAACTGACGGGGAGAGAGAGATGATATGCAGAGTAACCTCCATTCAGGGGTTCTGGAACAGGGCCAGTGTCCCCTGAATAGAAGTGTCCCTAAGGAGAGGTTCCATCATGTATTTTTTGTGGACCGCGTCGATGTCCTTGAATTCTCCATTGCAAACCCTCCGATCGAGACTAACTTTTCTTTCCATGTGGCTTTTTTACATCTTCATCTCCTCTACTGATAAACCGTTCATTACATTGGCCGGATGAAATTTCTCCGCGTAAATTTTTTTGTAAACAACAATGAAGAAATTGAAATACATGTAGATATGATTCTCTTTACCTTATATTTAAGGCAAGTGGAAGTCATTTCTGTGCACCAAAGATATCCTCACTGAGTCAGCTCAGTTGTTCAAGTCTAACTGAGTTAAATTCATAAAGAATACCAGAAGGGGGAACAACTTTACTTAACAACCAGTGATTGAGAGAAAGTACGACTGTAAAACTTGTATAAAACGTAGGTAGAATGGTTCAGTAAACGTTTGATTTAAGTAGCCTATTCGTCTCATTACAGAAGGTTGAAAAGTGTCGACAGGCGTTCAAGAAGAAATGAAGCAAATAAACGAGCAAAAATTCAAAAAATTTCAGAAAGAACGGTTATGCAACCAAAACTAAACTCGTTTTCCTTCTTTTTTTTTTTGACTTTTTACCAAGGTTTTAGTTTAGGCTAATGGTAGTTCTTATTCTCTTCCGTCAAACGTGAATACGTCAGGGGGTCATGCAAAGTCACGCGCTTCTTTTCATCGCTCGCTCAACAACCTCGGGATTTGTGTTTCTAATGGTCCGTTAAATTGTTTGTAATTTAGTTTATTTTGAGAAACATTTTTGGTTCGGAGTTCAATTTAAGAGCATTAACAAAACGCTTAGGAGAATCCGGCTCATAAGTTGACATCATGGTGTTTTTTCACATTTTATGTAATGCCGATATTGCATTAATCCATTTGACAAGTTGGTACGTGCTTGGTTTTATGATCAATTTCGTCGTCAACCGTAGAGTCACATCCGGTGTTATTCACTGCTGCTTTACTCACGCTGCGCAAATTATTATCTACTATAAAACTGTACTCTCTAAGCCAGCTTTCAGCAGGTCTTCAAGCTCTGCTGCCTACATCTATCATGTGCGATTGAAGATCGCACTACATAGTCGACCGAGCGGTGAGTTTGTATGATATGTAAAATCCTTACTTTGCCGGAGTAGACTGAAAATTCGTAGAGTTCTGATGTCGAGGCTTGATTAGAAACCGGATTTCGCCGGGCCAGAAGCAAAAATTGAAGAAAACTGCAGTGATTCAAACAAACAAGATGTCAAAAACTTTCAAATCACAGAGCTAAAATGAGATCCGATACAATCACGGCGAAACAGTGTTGAGAATGATTTGTTGTGACATTTTTTTTTGTCAGAATTTTATTTGATAAAGTCGATTTGACAAAACAGATTTCGCACGAATATATTAAATGGATTCAATGAAAGAGAAACCCTACCTGTAGGAATTGTGGTTAATAATTTCGGAAATTCCACATTTGGCTTCTCGAACCAATGTTGAAAGATGTTGATATTTTTATTTCAGGTTCGTAACCACAAGCATTGCTTTCGATATTCATTCCTATAAAATCTAAAATATCCGTCAGATATCTATTAACAATAATTTTTGTCATGCCATGTTTATAATTTTGCGAAAATAATTTCCGTCGCTCGTCATTGTTTTGCCTAGGGATGCACTAATGAATAAAAATAATAAAAGAGAACTCTAAAAGATTACTTGGATTAGAAACTGAATAAAACAGGGTTCAAAGCAATCAGGTAAATTGAACTTAGCCGGGGAGTTCAGATTATTCATTTTAAACTGCTGTTTTTTAAAAAGTACTTTCACGAGCTCGCAGCATGGGGAAATGATTGTTCTCTTCCTGAAAATGTAAACAGCCTTGAAATCAATTTAAAATAAGCATTCAGCCTTTTGCGAATCGCCGCTTATCTCGCTGTTCAAGGCTATTCACTGATTTCTTAAGTATTGCAGCTGGAAAATGGAAGGAAGTGTTAAAGTTCAAATTCTCAAAGCAACCGTCAGATTAAAAGAATAAAAAGAAAACACACAACTTGACAAAGATTAATTCTCTAATTCCGACACGTCTAAGCGGTGCATCAAATACTTTGCCCCAGGCTGAATATAATAATCACTGACAAATTTCTTGTTTAACAATGAAAACGTGGATTTTGTTCCAAAATTTGAATAACGTAAAAAAAAATTTTAATATTCTTTCTCCTTTTTTCGAGGTTTTTCTAAAATTAATTATGTTGATAGTTATGAACCTTCGCTATTCCACCCTCAATCTGCGTTGCAACTTTCCGTGCTTTTTGCGCCTTCATAACCGTTCGTGAGTGTTTTAGGGCTCAGTTTGATGTCGTGTAAAACTCACCAGGAATTGTTCGGTGGCTAGCATGTGACTTATATATGTTTGATGAGACTGAGCGGGGAAAAAGTTCGCTCGATGACCAGCATATGACTTGTATATAATTGATTCTATGGATCGGTGAAACTGGCAAACACCCAGCGCTTTAGTTGTCAAGTAGACACGTGGGATCACGTAGAACATCAAAAAAAATTAAACAAGACAAAATAATAATAAAAAAAAACATGACAAAGAGTTTTAAAGCAAGATAGCTGAGTTAATCAAAACAATTTAAGATTTATTCATGAGTGTTCCTGATTGAGATTACACAATAATGTAGAATTGGATTACTTCAATCGAAGGACTGAACAAGAGAAAATAAAGGATTTTTACCATCATGTTGATAATAAATTGAAACCGGTTTTTAATCGAACTAACCCTTTCAATAGTTGTTTTTTTTTTCCAGTCGGGGGCTTTGAGAATCGTACACCAAGTGCTAAAATACAATGTCAAGCGATTAAGTGATGCGTCAGGAATCTTTATCCCTTAATTCGATCCGAGCGTGGGGTTATTCCCTTTAATTCTAAAAGGGCCGGCATAAAAAAAAAACTTTAATTTTGTAATCGCTTTCGTAGGTGTGGTTTTCAGTGTCAACTTCATTGCTGCAAAGTTCCCCACTCTACGGTGAATTTTGCACGGGGACGGATAGCTTTACGAGCATTACCGTACCGTAAGTAATAGTAAATATATTAGTTTCTTTCAAAAGCTGCTTTTGATGTAAATCAGTTTAAATGTTTTTCTTGTTGATCGACAAAGTTACAGGTAGCTTAATTTTTTTTTTTTAACGCTAGTCGAAAATCATTTAGTGGTTATATCGAGTAGGTTCATTTAATTTGACGAGGTAGATTATACTTTTTTATCTCAGTTTTATAACAGTTCGATCTGATTTTCGGTCAGGGTGCAAACGAGTTCAGCATTTGACAAAGCATAGCAAATACGACAAATTAAAAAAGTTGACAGTTTAAAGAAGTTTAGCAAATTGAACCAGATTGCGAATGAGGTGTTTAACTTATTCATTGCCTCAGCGAAACTGACAAAGACAAATTGTATAAATCTTGATTTTCAAAGTGTGTGACGCTGTAAACAACATATTATACCGGCAAGTGGTAATTTTACTGACCGCAAAAGCATCTTTTCTGGACATTTTTGTCATTAACTTAGGGACTATGACGTACATCAGGAAGTCTTTAGACATGTTCTTCTCTCTTCGTTCTTTTTCTTTAAGTTGAGTCTTTAAACGTTAAAAAAAATCTTTTTTATTTCGATCTTCAGTGTGATCCTAGGGTTGAGTTTGGGCAAAATAATTTTTTTTCGCAAAAAAGCAATAACATTGTCATAATTTTTTTTTGGCGTAAATTCACGAAAATATCTTTCAAAATGTAAATTGAAAAAAAGATTGAAAATGCCTCCCAAGTGTGAAAACTAAGCTGTTATAAGAATGTTCTTGGAAAGGGGACAAATCAAACTAGCACCCTTAGATTACGATTTCGAGCACGTTTTCCAATAACCAAGTCTACCGACAGAAATCTCCCCCTCCCCCTGGTTGTAAAGTCGCGCGAAAGGGAAATAATTCCAATATTTTAACTCACGTCAGTCCGAAGAAAAATACGTGGTAAAAAACCATTTATCAGTTATTAATGCAAATATGTGTAAGCCCTAAGTCGACGAATATGTTTTACCCTGCTGGAAAATATTAATATTAAATTTGTCGGGAAAAGATTAAGGTGATATTTACGAAATTGTTTTTTTTAATTAATTTTGATTCTCGAGTGTGTCAGGAGTGCTATAATTTGAACAGAAAATAACTTCTGTGGCCAGTCGCACGGGTAAATTATCTCGGAAGAACGATTTTTTCATTATTGAAGAAGTGGGTTGATTTAAAGGGAGAAGATTATTTGTGGTCATTTACACGGTAATAAATTCATATGCAATATCGGTGAGCTTTGGATCAGCTTTCAATTCCGAATGACGGAAAACGATTGAGAAATGTTAATTGTGACATTCAGCGTTAAAGAAAGTTTGCGAGACCACCGGGTTTTGTAAACAATGGCAGACTTAAGATAAATGATCCTAAAAATATTCATTATCAGTAAGAAAGACCATAGCGAAACTTTGCGGCTGGTCTGTTGACCTGCCAATTGGCTGGAAATTTCTACTTAAGCTCTTTTTACGACTCATTATTGTGCCAACGAAAAAAATCTCGATTAATATGCTCGAACATAAGTCGACATTGACGGGGAATGTATAATTTGTAGCCTGCGCGCATTATCAGAAATCTCTTGTCACAAAAGTAAGAGCCTGGCATTGTTTCAGGATCCAGTCATATTGATAGGCGCGACTTTGCCACGGCAAATATGAGATAGCATTTAACATGGACTTTGACTGCATTGAAAAAGCGAGCGAATGCAACCGGCGCAACGTGCAATATGGTTTTACACAGGATTCTTAACTGTGACAGGTATGGTTTATTGCCCCAACTGTATTTTAAAGAATGGAAAAATAGAAAAAAGTCAACAGTGGGGCAAAGTTTGGTATGGAATTAGCTTCGAAGTGAGTGCTATGGTACTGTTAGTTTGGTGTGTAGAATTAGCATGCGATAGAAAGACTAAAGAATATTCTCAAGAGCTGTAGCAAGATGTAATAATTTATTTGCCGACTCGAGTAGTTTCCGAGTGTTTCCTCTGATCGGGTTTTCTCGATACTTAAAATTTACGCGTAGGAAAGCGTACCTCTAGCAACTAAGTATTACGAAACGCGCAATTTTGAAATCAGGATCGCAGGCAGCCTTTTTTAAAGACGAGTGCGCCCTCTGGGTACAGAACCCCTAAATTGTGAATGAGCTGATAGCCGTATCTGAGGCGAGCTCAGCATACTGTTCGTTAAGAAGGAAAAAAACACCCCATTGGAAATTCTTTATCGACCAGCGCGACTCATACAGAAGTGTTGGTGCATCACAAGAAATTTTCGTTCACCTGCTTACCCAGCCATTGTCATATGTTAAATCTAACAATTTAGAATTGAGAAAGACTTCTGCGTCGAAAACGATAAAAAAAATAATTGCTTTTAAATCGAAATTTAGATTTTTACAAATACATTTACTTCTGCAGTGCAACTTTCTCGGTCGGTGGGTAAAGCAGTGTTGTTAAATGATCAAGAAGATGAAAGAGCCATAGATCGTGGTATATAACTCGAGTTAATGATATTTAACCAAAACTCAAGCAACAAAAGGAGAAATTTGTAGCAGATTGTATCGAGAACATAAAAACTCTGGCAGAAAAAAGGGCATCTTACAAATAGTTATGCAATATATCGTTGTGAATTACATAGTGTTATATGATTCAATGATATATATTTTGATCTTCATTTTTCTTCGAGGATTTACATATTTCATTCGGTTTGGGCGCCCATTTTTGTCGATCTTCTTTTCATATTTCAAAACCAATCATCATCGTAATGACTGATTTCCTCTCTCATTCTCTCTTTTTTATGTTTTTTTTTATAATTCAAGTTTGGAAGTGCCGCGTAGTTCCTTCCAGGGGCTCCCAGAATTTAGTGCACCTGCCCCCTGACATGCAGCTTAACTCGGAGCTAATTCACAACGACAATTTCCTTCAGTTGACTATGAGTTCTGGGAGAGAAATTTGATTTTCCCCCAACTAAATCTTTGTCAAGGAAACAGTCGATTTGAATTCATGCAGTTATTGCAGCAGGAAGACAAGCGGCGACTTGTCGCTGAGTATGTTTGGATCACAAATCTTTCATCGCCAAAATCTCTTTTAAATTCCCTCATCTGTCTGCCACGTATTTCTTGGAATTTTAACGGCGAGAATTTGGTGTCAAATCAAATAACATTGTCTGCTTGATTTTATTTTATGTCTTCTCATCGCCGTTGTGCCTAACTTTATTTTGATAATTGTAAGGAGAAAATAAGTACCGATCACCCTGGGAGTTAGCAGTCGATGAAAATCACCCAATCCATTTTGTTTTTTTCTCTTTTCCACGGTCTTAATGTATCTTATATGCACCACAAGGTTACCCTTTAAGACTGTGATTACCAGCTGACTGATTTAAAGATCATCAAGTGTGAGGAACGATTCGTAAAACTTCAGCGAATTACAAAGAAAAGATTTAAGCAAAGGTGGACTGTAATTTAAACAACTGTAGAAGAGTAGCCGGAAAAATTCCGGCCTTGATGACATTCGAACCCAGGCCTTCCAGGTACTAGCTGAACGTCACTACCAACTGAGCTCTGAAGCCACATGTTAGGAGAGGAAAAATTTAAGAGGGTGTTTGCTTGATTTTCATCCGCAGGTCATTTGAATCTTACTTTATTTAATTTGTGGAAAAGGAATTGTAACAGCTAACTTTTTGTGAAGCTATTAAACTGTCATAGGAATTGTATTTCTGTCGTTTTTTTTCGGTCATGGAGCAATTAAAAATGTTTTAGACCCCAGAACGAGGCTATATAATGAATTGAACGTTACACTCTCAATTGTGTCGCACAGCATCAACATTGTGACTTACAAGAGACAAAGTATTGAAAACAAAATTGTATCGATCGCGTGCTCTGGCCACAAAAAGTAATGAAGATTTTAATTTCACATAAATAATTCGGGAGAAGATTGTGGAAAAGCTTATTTCTTATCGAGTAGCTTTTTAGGACCTGGATTATTCGACCAATGTGTCTGTTATGATTCATGATAGGAGTCATGAAATAATGAGAAAACTCAACAAGGATTTTTTTTTCCTACGTGGTGTGGTTAAATTGCGACTAAAAGAACAGATTTTTCTTGCGGAAGCGTTTGGCCTGGTAATGTCGATGGAAAGATATAACAAGTACTTCCTGGACTAGGGGGGATGTTACGAAATATTTATCAGCAAAGGAGGAATTTTGTCAGCTGCTGTAGATGACGTGATAGGGTCGACCTTCTGGGAAAGTGTGAAGGATTTTAAAGAAGTTCTTTTCTAGCACGTAATCTTTTAAAGATTCTCCACTGAGTTCAGTTAAATGTTGACCTGTGCCGAGAAAAAGTTCCTTGTGTCAACAAGCCGTAACTTTAGATCAGGAAGCATAATTTGTTATCCTCTCCTGTAACTATTCTTTCTGCCTGTTTTCGTCATTTCCTCAATTTTTTTCAACATGAACGCCAAACGTCTTACCTAGTGACCTCATTTGCATCATAGATTAATCTCTTAATGACGCAAAGTTGAACAGTACGAATGGCCATATTTGGTGATTACAACCAAAGTTGCGCAACATTAGTTTCGTGCGATTCTTGTTGTAAAAAACCAAAATTATTTTTATAATTGATAAGTCTTATCGAAGTGACGCAGAGATCAGGCTGTCAAATCCTAAGCCCTTTTGAGGTCAAAACCTCCGTCGGAAGAGGCAAAGTTTTCATGAAAGATGTAAGATATGCTCCCTTTGCTGCAATTTAACGTATATAGTATTAAAATCGAAGCCGCACTTTACACGAAGGTCACGGACCGGAGCAGCTTAGTTACCTCGCCTTTGGGAAGCGGTAAACCGGCGGGGAAAAAAATTTTTGTTTAAGTGGCAAACTTCCAGCATTTAAACCATCCCCTCGACCGGTTTCTTAGTAACTTCACATCTGGTAACGGTTCGTTTATAATTTTACGGCGCTAGTAACGAACAACCCTTTGTGGTTATTAATGCTGCCGACAAGGTGAGTTGTGTTAAACTTGACTGTCTCTCTCGATGTTTTTTTTGGCTGGTAATGCCAATTTTTGTGGTACCTTATCCGTAAAATCCTTTGAAAGGAGTTTGGCGTATCGGGTAAAATATTTACACAAGTGTTAAGAAAAAATAACAGTAGATCTTGAAATAATAGCTCTTTCTGGAATTGATTACTTGTTCTAGAGCGTGAACTCTTACGAAGGCTTCTCTGTAGGTGGGTATATCATTATGATTTATGTCCTTCAGTTTCGAAGTCGAATATGCTTGTGAAACCGCGTGCTGAAGGGAAAAATACGTGTCATGAATGAGATGTATTTATTTCACGTTCCATTGCACAAATTATCACTATTGTCCGTGACCGTAGAGGAGTAGACGTCTATGTTCACCAAATGTTCAATTCTCTGACTGAGTGACGCCAGGCGGAAAGAGCAGGTTTCAAGGACTTCTCGTTCCTTCTTCAAAACTTCGCGGTCACGATTCGAAACTGTAGGGAAAATAGAAGTTCAGGCGACTTTCGCTGACAGAGTTCATGAAATTCCTAGGATTTCGATAGATTTTATTTTTGGACAGAAGCATGGTTTACAATAAGGCGAATGTAATCCCGAACACAGACTAAACATCGATAACAGACAGCTTAAACCTGAGATATCTCGGATGATAAGATTCAACCGAAGGTTATCGAAAGATTACTTTCATGGATTGTTTTTCTGCGAAAGGGAAATCTCCATTCACAACGTTTTATATGTTGTACGGTCAGCAGATAACTTAGAAGAAGATGCAGGAACACGCGAGTATTTGTATAATCGGAAATGGATAGGAAATGGAACTCACACTTACGGAAAAAGTTCTAAACTTTATTCACGTTTAGAAAATTGTACTTTGTTATGTGTAAAACTGTGGATATGACTTTCGTCTACTGTCAGTTAACAAAAATATATAATTACGTTCTAACACTAACCTTTTGGGTCAGGGATCAGTCATTCTTCAATCACCCACTAAGGCTGTATGCAATTAAATATCAAAGCAGTTTAATTAAGTGATCATAGTAATGATATCAGCGTTCAAAAGTCTATCAAGTTGCTTCAGTCTATCGATGAACATGCCGCGGCCTTGTTGCTAATTTCAATAGCTGAGAAAAAAAAAACTCATGCATTAAGTTTTCTTGGCAAGAAGCCTGAAGAAATGTTTGCCAATATCTGAAATCAAACCCGTTTTCTTTCTCATACGGATACTTATTGGCGCGAGTCTTCGTTCGTGCGCGTTTTTCCTTCTTTTCCATTACAGTTTTATCTGATCTAATCTTATTCAAGGAAAGGGCGGGGACAAATAACTTGGACGTTTTTCGACAAATTCGCACGTATTTTAAAGCAATTCCTGTTTTTGCCATAATAATTGCGTTGAGTAAAATTTTTAGGAATGATTTCATGACCCATATGTTTCAATTAGTCTCGACTATTCTTGAGCACTCCATATTGACAGATATTAACACAAGCTATCCGATAGCAACTTTAAAACTGTTCAAGCTCACCGATGCAATTTCAAATTCAAATATCCCTTTTTTGTGAAAAGAGAGAATTTTTTTGTAAGCAATAGTCATATAGAGTTTGTGGAAGCTTCTGAATAAGTAATCATGTACGGATTTACAGAATCATGAATTATCCGTCGCGAAGGCAACATAGTAGTTGCGCAATTTCACAATTCCATAATTTCAAGTTGTTAAAAAGATCTTGTCAACGAGAGTTTTAAATTCAAGATTAAATGTTTCGTTGTAGCTGTTCAAAGACGTTTTCATAGTTCTCACTGCTGTACAGCTCCGCAAATGATCCCGGGACCGCAAATGATCCTATGACCCTACAAATGCAAGATAAATGCATTTTCTTTGTTTTTCGTATTCGTAATTTAAGGAAAACTACACTACTTAGCTAGCGAACACAGCTAATTGATTGAAATATTTCATTCTAGCAAAATAATGGTAGAATCAGTGGAAACACATGGACAGTCAGATACATATATTTTCCGGTACGAATCAATTACTAAACACCTATGTAAACAAAGGAAGTTTAATAATACAAATGTCAACTCGACAGACTACCGCTCTGCTCCCGAAATTATCCACCACGGTTCGAGCCGATCTAAGACACTTGAAACCTTACAGGAGAGCTCTGTGATGAATCGTTTTCTTTCGTTAATCAAAGCTTTTCAAGTAACTTATTTCCGGTAATGTTTCAAAATAGTGATTAATTTTGTTTTGTATAGTGGCACCCTTTTTTTCATTTTTTATTACAGTTTCATCACAGTGGCCACAACAAACATTTAATGAAAATAACCTTGCAATTGTGAGTATGTTTCATAATCAATGAAGCTCACATTAACCAAAGACTTTGTTTTTCCTTATCCTATGCAAACTATGCTGTGACATCTTTCTAAAAAAGGTAACCGGGTAACATGTTCTTCCACATGATTCAAATGTACTTAGACGCTTCCTTTGGTTGTAGAAGCAACTTCGAATGGAAAAAAATAAAAAAAATAAAAACAAGGCCAACACTTTTTCTTTTCAGGCAATTAACGAATGGGCCTTATTGGAAGTGCTTTTGACACTCAAGCTCATTATTGCAAATAAATTTTCCCTGTAATAAGCGCAAGTGTTGTTCAGGTGGCAAGCCGATATTTATCTTAAAGATCTTTGATAATTGCATGTCAGACCGACGCCTCTTCTTAGATTGATATGCAGAGGAATCAATACATTTCCTTCATGTACCACTAACAAGAAGAGCGTTGAACGTGCCTCGGTGCTTTCTTTTGCCAAAATGTTAATTTTCTTACTGAAAACCGTGGGTAGAGCATTTTTAAAGCCAACAGGGATACAAACTGGCTGTAAGGTTTGTTCGTTTCTTATTCTTGGTATTTTTTGGTTTCCTCATACGGAATCGACTGAGTCAACCCAGTCGGTTTTGATGCAGTAGGTTCTCAGTATAGAAGCTATATTGTACTTCAGTAGCGAGTTATTTGTTTTTGGCGAAACACTCCCGTAGACTGGTAATAGTTGTTGTGAGAGTAGTCTATTTTGACAATTAGCTCGCACGCGTGCCTTTGACTTCATTGGGATGCCTCGCGGCGTTTTTGAGAGGTCTGTACGTCTTTTGTCAGTTTTGAACAACTTATTTTAAGTTACTTGTACGAAAACAGTCACGGAGATTAAGCTTGCTTATTTTCTTTCGCCTTTTTATGTCAACATGTGAAGAATGGCTCTTTCATGGATAAGCCGCCCCGAGATCTAAACGATCGAAAAGAAGTAGAACACATACGGTGTAGTTATCATGTTCCTTCTGACAATTTTTTCGCTGTCGTTCAACATTAAAATTTCAAGTTCTATCGACTGCAAACGAGGTTGCAAAGGTATATTTATTTGCTCGAAGAAATGACTATAATAAAGAGAAAGAACAGTTGTTCATCCATCTGACTTTTAATTGTAGTTACTATAGAAACCACTCCACGGTAATTAGGCTGTCAGATGGGCAAATAAATCGTCGCGATAAAGGTAGATTACTACCTGAAACTATAAGGTTAAAACTATGTTTCTCGTGAAAGTGAGAGGAGGAAATTCATGGCTCGAGGGAAATTATCAATTTCCGTCTTGGAAACTTTTTATCATCGGGGATGAAGCTGATAAAGGCGATTGTTTCCGTGCCAGTGCTGTACAGGCCTCTTTTGTATGAAACAAATTTGTGTGTGTTAGCTGGCGAGCGAATACCGTCGATATTTCTTGAAGTTTTCCTGTGAGTTTCCTTGCTGTGCCGTAAATGTTTTGATCGTTACCTTACAGTAAGAAACTGAACCAAAATGTATGGAATATTACGTTGAAAAGCCCTGCTGGTATTGATACCTAATTATATTCAACTGAGATCTAAATGAAAGACCATTAGACGAAGCCATTGTATCTGATATTGTTCCAGTGCTTTTTGTGTGTGGGTTAAATTTTTCATTTCAATTTTTCTGGACTGAACCGTAAATATGTCTAACTAAAAATCTAGTATTTTATCCACCGAGCGAGCCCAACACCTACTTGCAAAGAGGCTTATCGATATTCGCCTTCCAGGTCGAATGGTAACAAAATAATTATAATTCTCGTATGTTATGTTCGTTATCTACGTTCTGATGACACCACCAAATCATTTTAATGGACAATGCTTTCAGTCCATTGTACATGTGCGAAACAACATTCAATGTCCTAATTGAATTCTTTTATTATAAATTTTCGAACGCGTTCATGAAGTTCGAAGAATTTTTCCTTTTATCCTTAATTGAATTTAGAACGTCATATATGAAACGCCTTACGTTCCAAAAAGATCTGTTCTGGGACTCAAAGACGTTGATTTGAAGTTAACAAGAACTAATGTTGGTCATGCCTAATTAAGATACATTTTAAAGGGATTAGCGTCTGTGGTTTAATACAATTGTCCAAACAGAGATTTTTACTTTGTGAGGCATGCGACGCACATATTGCCTAAATTACTAGGATTGTGTTTTTGAAATAGTTTGATGTATATGTTTATCAGGAACCCTTTTCTCATTTTTCATGTTTTGCAGGCAACACTTCGCAAAGATCCACACTCTGCGAGTTCCTTTGACGAGTAAGAAGTGCTTGGTATCAGTTTGGAACGCAAAGGTGATTACACTCGTGGACATAATCACTCGCCTTAAAAGCATTTTGACGTCAAAGTAGTGTGTCTCCTTGGTATTTACATTGCGAATTGTCAGCTTAGTCTGTTAGTCAGATACCAACCACTTCGAAACCACAGTTTCATCTCAGAGTGTAGTGTATTCAAAGAAAGAAGTAGGAAAGATTTAAAAAGGAAAGCTCTGAATCTTGGAAAGGATTGCTTAACAATTCATCCATCGATTTCTAACTAACAAACTACCAAGGAATTTTCTTTGGAAAACTAAAGGACAAAGACTGCGAGAGTTAAAGGTCATAAAGAACATGGCAAGTTCAGGGAACCAAACCAATCCAACACCAAATATGGAACTGCTATGTCAAGAGAAAACGAAACTTGAGTACATTTACCAAACAGCATTTCTGATCCTTATCATGCTGGTGACATTCCTGGGAAACTTCATGGTGTGCTTGACTGTATACCTTCATCATCGGCTTCGCACGGTCACCAATTACTTCATCGTATCTCTGGCCGTGTCAGATTTGTTGCTCTCTCTTCTGTACGTTCCCTTTCGTATTGACCAAACGATTCACAATAGTTACTGGTGCCCCAGAAAGGAATTATGTTCAACGTGGATCGTGATAGATTTGGTCTGTGCTGGTGCATCAATCTATAACCTGGCTGCCATCTCGGTGGACCGCTACATCGCCATTGTGCATCCTTTCAGGTACCATTCCTTGATGACCACAAGGGCAGCTTGGATAATCATCGGAATCATCTGGGCCTACTCCATAACCTGGGCGGGTCTTTCCGGCATAAACTGGACAGACTCTCAGCAATCACCATATAATTGGTTTCCAAAGTGTTATAAGCAAGATAAGATATTTTACACTGTTACTACGGTCACGGACTTTTTTTTCCCACTTATGGTCATATTGATCATGTACGGACTGGTATTTCGTGTGGCCATGAACCAAGCTCGAGCCGTAGCTTCTCTGCAACCTCAACTTTCTAAACAAGATGGCCGCGGTCGAAGGTTTTCTATCAACATCGTTAAAGAAGTCAAAGCTGCCAAGACCTTGGCCATTGTCATCGGGGGATTTGTCGTTTGCTGGTTGCCTTTCTTTGTCTTTTTGCTGGTCAGTCTGTGGGACATAAGTCTGTTGAGGCCACCTAAAGTCTCGAAGGAGGTCCTCGACGGTTTGCGTGCGACATTTTTGTACGTGTTACCGACAATTAACAGCACGTTAAATCCCATTATATACGCACTATTTAACAAGGAGTTTAGGACTGCATTTGTTCGATTGTTGCGGAGGACATGTGGAAGATCATTGACTAATTCGGATGACATCCATTACAGCATGAGTTCCAGCGTAATGAACGGCAGCCCCAAAACTAAAACGAATGGCAGATCGAAAAAGACCAGATTCCACGAGGTACAAGGCGATGAGGACGCAAGTTCATCAGACGAGCCAAAACATGTTTAGAATTGCTCTTTTCCCCACTGGGACCTGAATTTCATGGCCATTTGGCTTGGGTTCCGAGATAAAGAATTGCCTCCAGATAACCATCAGCTGAGAGACGATGAAATCCTTTGGAGACGAACCCTGCGAACAATTTAAAAGTTTGATTTTCAATAAGGATCGTCGGGAAGATTCAGCCTATGAACTTAAGGGAACTGATTTAAGTAAGTCAGGAATAGTTACACTGGTTCATCCTGATGTTATCCATGAAAGTCTTTGATTTTAGAGCAAGTTACTCCTGTCATATAACCATTTTCAGCGATGAAGAGTGTAACTAAAATCGCAAGAGAATAGAAGTGCCGTTAATTCCATCTTGTAAAAACAAAACGATACAAAAATTAAGACAATTCTCAGTGTATCAACAAATCATTCTTGAAAATAGCAGATATTTCTGTGATAGATATTTTACCCATCATGCATTGGTCGGCTTCGAACTGAAAAAATGAGGGCTCAATGCAACTTGTTCGTAATTTGCACCCTCTCTTAAAGTTTCCAAATCGCACATGATCGCACAGTTTTTAGGACCTTTCCATTGGCGCGTAAGATGGATAATTTAAATTTGAGTACATATTTTGATTAGTTACACGTTAATTAGGAAACATCTTGTAGATTTGTTCAGTTCACTTAGGAAACGAACGCTCGTTGGATCTATTTAAAGCACATGTCTGTCGTTTGTGAAGTTTTGTACATTCTACCTTCTGTAACCCATGATTCAAATGTAAATTTGTCCATTCGCCACAAGGCGATCGACTGACGTGTAGAATATCTCGTTACATTTTGAAAATCGTCGTTTGTAAATAAGGCATCAACGTAAGTTGATTGAATAACTTTTTTGCATTTAGTGCAGGTTAGTAAGACATAATTTCCATTTCCTTGTTTGAAATTGACTTATCCGAACTAGAGTTCAAACAAGTTTTCAAATTGTTTGCAACCAGATTACACTTGCAAATGATTATTGGTCTATTAGATTTATGAAACTTTTAGGTTGTGGTATCATATGACATCGTGTACCTCTAGGGCTCTGCATTATTTGTTTCAAGTCGTTGTGTGTAATAAACGGGTTCTCCTTTATGATGAACACAGCGATTGGTTGCATATATGCTTTTCGCGACTCAGCGGTAAAGGCACAGCCAGAAGAGATTGGGAATGGCAGTTGAACCTCGCTAACTCAAGCTCGCTTCACTCAAACTCCATTGTCGTCGAATCAGACTTAAGCTAAGGCTGCTAAAAAATCAGACTTGAGGCTGTTGAAAGGGCATTTTCGATCATGTTTACTTTCAGATAAGCCAACCTTTCAGGCTGTATCTCAAAGTGTTTGTTGTTTTCGTTAGAATTCAAGTCAGCGAGGTTTCATTGTACTGGTCAAACGTTCTACAAGCCAGCGCAAAAAAAAAACGAAAAGTGTTTAACAAACGGGATCGGGAAAAGTGCATGATCTCTCCACGGACTTTCTATTTTGTTGCGGATCACAGTCTAGTGCGCTCATGGAGTAACAACCGTAAGAAATCGAACGGACGCGAAAGTGGAGGATTGAGGGTTGTGACATCCTTGTTCTGTGCGCCCGCCCTCAAGAGTAGGTTAATTTTGTGTTGTGTGAATTTTGTTTCCATGAGAACTGTGAAGCAAAGCAAATTCTATATCTCGTCCCTTATCATAGGTGTGCTTGTAAAGGAAAAGCAACGTCGACGTACATCCTCTCACCAGATAAGGATCGACAAAGCTTTTTATGCGATATTGCACTTGATACACCAAAAGCCAGCTGTTTCACCTCCTAATTTGCACCTACCGTGGACATGGCAGATTCTAAAAGGTCTCACCTTGAACAACTTGAAATTCAGTCAGAACTGGATCGTTTGTGATGAGTGCCGTTGATATATGTTTTCGCGCTCATCATCTTTAAGGCATTAGGCAAAATGAAGGAACAGTGTTAGTGGCATTAGTCATTTATTTATTTCTGGGCTGCATGATCATTACAATTGAAGAAAAAATACTATACACTTGCATTCTGATTCCCTCTTCATTCTTCCGTGCGGTGGATTTTGGTTTTTGACCAAAGCAAAATAAGAACAAGTCGTTGTATAAAGTAAATCCATAGGACCTCTTTCCATGGAAACAAACAACAAAAAGCCAACACTAATTCAAAACCGTTTCCACGGTCATAACTAGATACTTAGTAAAATCCGTCATAATTTGTTTATGTCATTAGCAGAGAATAAGCTTTTGTCGTGCTAAGAGAATTAAGAAATCCAATTAACTCGTAAAAGTCGGCTTATGAAACCGTTAATTGGCCTAAATGACGCAGTCATAGCCAACAACATCTGTCACCCATGCATAGCAACACACGTACACGCAACGCTATAAGAAGCAGAGAAGATTTTTATGCGGTTGTCTGAAATGCATAGCTAACCTCAGGTGTCCGAAACGAGAGCGATTTCAAGTTTGGCGCTGTTGAAACGAATGAAAACAATTGCAGCGACCAAGCAGACCATACGAATTGGTCAAGATGTGTGTTCTTGACCGGACCTTTACCAACATGCTAAGTTCTGATTAAGTCGCGGTCGCCATTAATCATCTTAGATCATCTTACGACGTTCTTGACAGCACAGAAGTTCGAGAACTTTCAGTTAACAATCAAACTATTTCAAGGCAACATGGGAGCAGATCCTCAGAATTGCTGCAGTATCAGTTACAAAGTTGCTCTTTGGAAAGACCAGCATCCTATCTCTCATCCCAGGCTCCTCGCCTGCCAACCCGCGAGCGCCGCCGCCTTGCTAGACGGCGAACGATGCGAAACAGCCTTTTTGGTAGACTACTTTCTAGCACGATTATCTCTCACTGCTCCCTGCCCCCTCTTCAGCGCACGTGAGAACCCTCACCCAGGCTCAATGCAGTTGAATATAAGTAGGAAAGACCCAATGAAAATTTTGAATTGTTGAACACCGCTGTCGCCTGACCGTGCATGCATATTTACCTAGTCAGTTAATGAGATTTTGTAAATTACCACAGCATTTCCACGAACCATTTCAAGACCCTGCCCTTTCACGCACTTTTATATATGACGGCTATTGAAAAGGTAGGGATTGGAGCAGCCTGTACCAAACTCGAGGTCAGAGCAAGCGAAGAAAATAGCGGGTAGACGACACGTGTTACTAGTTAAAGGAAACGGCAGAGGAACGACATTCCCACAATTTTTCGTCCGCCCAATGTTGTCGCCTGTTTCCACTGGCCGAGGGAGCCTGGCACAGGCTAGAACTGGACACGCTTAGGAGAGACGCGATATATAAGCGGTAGCCATTCCTTGTAGTTCTTTACCAAATTGTATTTTTTGTTCCAATCTACTCCTCTGATAGGTTTCCTTTTTTTACAAGTAAAGAAGAAGACGAGTTTACCGGCAGTTTACCGATTTATACCATTGTCAGATTTAATTTGCTAAGATTAATTCTAACCATGACACCTAACCCCTTACAAAAGGACATAACCCGCACAGCTTAAAGGACGGATTTCTTTTTTTACCTAGTAGTCGAAATGGATTAACCCCGATAACAAAAAAATCAGACAGGTTTTTGTTTTTAATTTTCTCCCTATTTAAAAAAAAATTATGACCTCAAGAGGTTTTCAGAAGAAGCAACGCAGCCAAATATTGTTAGTTTATAACAGACGTTAGGGCGGGCCGCAATTGAAAATGGGAAATACCAAAATACAAAAGGTACAATACTAGGCCTTGAAACTCTTCACACTTTACCCTCTTAAATCAGTATGTATATTCTTCATAGTGTTCTTTATATATTTTCTAAGGTGCTGATGTAGAGAATTTGTTTATCAATCAAGATTTTAGTTGGTGATCATTTCCTTTTCTCACGTGACCAATATGCGTGTGATTCAGGGGTGATATTGTAAGGAGAAATTAGATGCTAGACATCATTAGGTCCTATCAGTGGTCAAAAGTTTAAGAAGAAGAAAATCGTAAAATATGAAATTACGTTTAAGACCAAAAAATGAAAGAGTCTGATGGAAACGAGTGCGTTTTGTTTGGTTGTTTGTTTGTTTTTTTCACCCGTTTTGTTCAGTTATCTTAAAGATAATTCCAATAAATCTTTTTATGCGTCGCCGATTATTATGATCCTGGAAAGTTCTTTACCTTATTAGGCGTTTCCTGATCAACCATCTGTGACCAAAGGCAACGTTAAAGAATGCAGACTACACTGAAGGGGATGGGAAGCGTATGGTAATTGTTTCAACGGTGCATATTTCTTCATGTAAGGGATGTTCAGGGTATAAGTTTAAATTTTGCTCGGTACTTTACTTTTTTTGTTGTGTTGTTTGCAAAATTTTATGCATTGGCAGAAATTTCCGGTATGAAAAAGGTTAACAAACTTTCCTAGGCATCCCCTCCCCCGAATCTTATTGCTCAAATCAATTCGGTGTACATGCCCAGCGGTTAACAAAAAAGTTCGAAAATGGCGGTCACCAAGCTATGACTACTACTAGATCTACAACACGATTATACGTCGATTCAGTCGATTATCTGTCGACCTCTGCCACCGAAATGCCATACGAAGAAGTGCCCCTCAGTAATCTTAAATCGAACGGTTACAAGAAGCTCCGGAACAAGGCGAATTTGCGGGCAAGTCCTGAAGACGAACCGGGATACGGATCGACCGACGATGCTCCGTTAATGGTAGACGAGGTTGATGATGATTTTGACGATGATCGTGGTCTCTCCGAGGGCTATCAGTCGTCAGATAGTGGAGATAAGGACAGGAGAAAAGGGAAAAATAAACGGAAGAAAGAGGGGTGCTGTAAGCGTTGTTGGAAGTTCTGCTGTTGCTGTGGGTTTTTGTCGTCTTTTCGAAGGTAAGAAAGCAAAATCGTTTTACAAATTTTCTTGCTGAGAGGTCATGTAGACGCGTCGTAAATAATGCAAATTGAAAAGGTACATGGACTGATCTCATTGTTAAAACTCCACACTAAAAATTCATGTAAAATTTGTTCGTCGCATTTGTTAATTTTTTATCACGGGCTCACATAAATTTTAAACTGACATACAGCTGTACAGGACATGTCGTAACGTACACCTTTGTACATACAGGTGTCCTTTTTATTTGTCGCCATTTTTCACATTATTTTCCGCCAATATCTTTCTATTTTATTATAATAAGATTTTTTTATCAGGATATGATCTGTTCTAATCTCTATTGGGTTATTAAGGCTAGAAGTTAAAGGATTGATCGATCAGCTTTTTTTTTTATTTAATAACTAAAGACGAAATAATCTGATCACTTTCTTCTCTGTTTTCAAGCTGTACAAAAAAGAAATACAGAAAGGCCTTAGTACTAATTAGTGCTATAGTATTACAAATTATTACCCTGGGCATGGCGTCCTAATCCTTTACACCCTAACATCAGTATTTATATTCTCAATACTGTTCTCTATTCATTTCTTATGGAACTGATAAGGAGAATTTGGTTAATAATCAAGAGCCCCACCAATTGATGATTATTTCCTTTATCCCTATGACCTTTGCATTTGGATAAGGGGTGATTACTGTAAGGACAAATTAGAAGGGAGACACTCCAAGGGGTGAAACATGATGAGACACAGTCATTGACCAAAGAGAGGGTAAACATCCATTTCTAAGTGATTACAATTTAAATTTTTATCACAGTTACTGTGGGGTTTAGCTTTTAAACATTGCAGTTTTTTTAACAGTGTGTATTTTTTCATAGTTGTTTTGACAGTCTGATGGGAAAAATTGAAATGAAGCCAAGGACAGTTGTTTTAGGAAGAGAGGTAGAGTACACACTTGCATTTTATCACAGAATTATTAGCATGTGATTTTACAACTTTCCCTTATAAATGATTTCAACTTTTTTATATTGGAGTAAACAGGTAGTGGCTAAACAGACAATAGTAAGAGGTCCTATAGGCTGCAGCAGACCATTGGTAACCGGTTTTTATTGAAACTTCTGATAAGCTTATTGAGCCTATGTTTAGTTATTATTAATATTTTAATATAATCAGTTTATATTTCTGTTGTGGTTAAAATTTATAGGGGTTAATATCAAATGACATGAAAAA